GAAATGCAAAGTCTTCGTTATGCCTGTGGTCAAAGAGCTCATTATGCTGATTGTAGTCAACTGTTGTGAACATGAAGAAAGCAAATGCTAATTTTGGTGGAGCCAAATGAGCTCTGTGTATGAAAGCAAGTTGAATTCTTGTGGACTGATTGTAATCAGGTCTACACTGCATTATGATTATTAAGTACTTGCATCTGTATCAGTGTTAGCTTTGTGCTAACTGAGTGACCAGTGGAGTCAGACAAATGAAAATGTGTTTTGGTCGTCTTGCATGCACAGCTCTTTTAAGATCTACCCACAAATTTTCAATGATGTTTAAATCAGGGGACTGTGATGGCCATTCCAAAACCTTCAGCCTGCGTCTCTTGAGGTATTCCATAGTGGATTTCGAGGTATGTTTAGGATCATTGTCCTGTTGTAGAAGCCATCCTCTTTTCAGCTTCAGCTTTTTTACAGATGGTGTGATGTTTGCTTCCAGAATTTGCTGGTATTTAGTGGAATCCATTCTTCCCTCCACCCGTGCAATGTTTCCTGTGCCACTGGCTGCAACACAACCCCAGAGCATGATAGATCCACCCCCATGCTTAATAGTTGGCAAGGTGTTCTTTTCATGAAATGCTGCTCCTTTTTTTCTCCAAACATGCCTTTGCTGATTGTGTCCAAAGAGTTCTATTTTAACTTCATCAGTCCACAGCACTTGTTTCCAAAACGCATCGGGCTTCTGTAGATGTCCTGTTGCATACTTCAGACGTTGGATTTTATGATGGGGACGCAGATAAGGTTTTCTTCTGCTGACTCTTCCATGAAGGCCTTGTCTGTGCAAGCATCGCTGCACAGTGGAACGGTGCACCACCACTCCTGAGTCTGCTAAATCTTCCTGCAGGTTTTTTGCAGTCAAATGGGGGTTTTGATTTGTCTTTCTGACCAGCATACGAGCAGTTCTGTCCGAGAGTTTTCTTGGTCTTCCAGATCTCATCTTGACCTCCACAGTTCCCCTGATCTGCCATCTCTTAATTACATTTCTTACTGTGGAAACTGCAAGCTGACAACGCTTTGCTATCTTCTTGTAGCCTTCTCCTGCATTGTGGGCATCAATAACTTTCATTTTCAGGGTCTTACACAGCTGCTTAGAGGAACCCATGGTTGCTGGGTGTCCACAAGTGTGTGCACAAGGTTTGAAGAGTCAAAGTATTTGTACAGCTTTGAAATTGGCATTTACCAATGACAGCTGTTGCTGTGCATCAGATCTAACGAGCTGATTAAGGTCTGATACCTTGTGAGAGACTTTGAGACTCTGGAACTCTTAGGGTGCCCAAACTTTTGCACCATGCCATAATCATGTTTTTATTTTTTATTTTTGTTCAATTTATGGCATAAGAAGTAACTATGCATCACTGTTTGCAGAAAATATTGTGCATTTTTTCCATTTCCAAGAGAAACTGTGTTAACATCTGTTCAAATAAAAAATCACCAAAATCTGTTATTTATCAAGGGGTGCCTAAACTTTTGCATAAGACTGTACATATCAACAGCTCCCTGGACCCGTGTCTGCACAGCCTCCGATCACCACTGTTAACTGCCAGAGCATTTGGAAAAGTATCCCTGGGGTTGTAAAAAAAACTAAAACAAAAACAACACAATGAGTGACATGGAGCCATCAGACCAACAGGAAACACATGTACTTCCCAACCAAACCATTTTCAGATGAGAGAACTTGAAGCTGGCAGATTTTCTCAACACGCTCTCTCATTTCCACATTCCTCTGTTGCATGTCGCGAGCAGGTCAGAGGTCAGCATCAACACCAGTGTGTGCTCCAGTCTGAGTCAGCAAGTGGGGTGAGAGAAAGGAGACCCCTTTCTGGAACAAAGGAGGATGTACTGATTGATGCTGTGTAGAAGTGGCCTTTCTCCAGTATAGCAGAGGGCTTTTATCAGGCCATTACGGCTTCAACAGGCAGAAGATTGGGTTCCTCAGATGCTCCGAAATCCAACTCAGCAGCTATTATGCTGCACAGAACGAGCAGAGAGATAATCCCAGGCATCTCTATTCACACCTGTCCACTCATATTCACATCACAAAGGGAGCTTGTATGAGGGAGTCTTCGTTTGCATAGTTTGGTCCTTCTTCATATTCAACAGGAGGAGAAGCAAAGCATTTTACAGAATCTGCTGCAGTGCCAGTTTTTAGGTTTCCCTCCAAAGCCTGCAGGATCGCAGGCCATGAGATCAGACAGATAATGCTGGGATTAGAAAACATGAGCTGTTTTGTGTTAGTCGCTACAACTGGCTAAACATCATGGTGAAGTGTGAGGTGTTGCCAGACAAAGTATCACAGTGTCCAACATATTATCTGCCAATAAAAACATCCAAATTGGTTTTATAAAGCTGAAATTGACTAAATCAAAGCTGAAATGATTAATCAAGTAGTCAGTAAAGAGAAACATACAGTAATTTTGATAACTTCAACTTTTCAAATATGAGTATTTGCTGTTTTTGTTCCCAAGATCATATAATTTATGAAATCTCTTCAGTTATGACTGAATGGGCCAAATCCAGCAGGACTCTCCTGTATTTAACAGGATTAACTTTCTACATCTGATCACAGTAAGAGCAACGATAGTCCATACTAGTGTCAAACCTTCACTTTCATTTCATCAGGTATGATTACACATACTACTACTGGGTAACCCGAGCTGATATGGCACCGGCACATGAGGTAGAGCGCGATCAGAAGCCGACGGTACCAGTGAAAAGTTTGGACACACTCTTCCGTTCAACCCAAGTGTGTTCAAACTATTGACTGGTAGTGTGTCTGCCCATCAGAACAGGTTGAGGGTTTATCCTTGTTTTCAAAATGTCTACAGGCACAAACACAAAACCGAGAGTCTCCAAAACCCTGAACATACCCAGGATATTCCTGGGCATGTGAACATCCTGCACGTCACAGACGGTGCACTGACTCTGGGACATTTCTACAAACTGTACTTAGAGCACAACACTCCAGTTGGGATCAGTGACTTCAGTTCTTCCTCTGTGCATCGCTCACACTAACCAGCTCACCACTGCATCGCATTACCTCCGCCATTAATAGTCTGTCCGCCCACTTTAATACATAATCAGCTGCCTATGGGCTCAACCTAACATACCTGGCACAGCCCAGGGTGCTATGGTCCAGCATTACAGCCTGGCTTGTGACCAGGTTCGAAACAGCTTCACTCAGCACCGCTGAGCATCTAATAACAGTATGTGGAGCACCGACTGATGAACTGGTCAAACTCCAAGCTGTGCAGCCTGAGGGTTGACTTCTGGGTGGTTATCAAATAACAGAGGGGGATATGGAAAACAGGGTGGTTGTGGACCACTTCTAAGGGCATCACACTACCCGCTATAATGAATAAACATACTTCCCACCATTTTTTTGTATAATTTCAGTGCTTTTGAAAGTGCTTGTGAGTGCACATAATCACAGCACTAGCCCAGAGTGGCTGGAACAGCTTCATATCAGAGCTCCTGCATGTGTCTGAACCACGGGAATTAGGCCAGAGTGTGACATGATTTAAATTAAAAAACAATGAACACCCCAACACTGCCTCCCAATACACACACACACACACACTCACCTCCAACAACAACCACTACCTCTCCCTCCCTCCATTTCTTCCCCCAACATCTGAGAGCTGCTTTCATTTCTCTTGCTACAGAGGGTCGATTAAATCAGACACATGTATGAGAGGAATGTGGAGACTTTGGGAAAACAAGTGCTGTTCTCTGATTTGAATTATTTATGGATCCACCCAAAACTCAGAAGGTGATGTGTTAAAGTGAGAACACGTTCACGACATGGTCTCGAGATGTTAAAGGACAAGACAAATAAGATGCAGAGTTACGAAGGAGGAAAACATGCCAAAATGGAGCAATACAAACTAACCCTAACATAAACTTAGTGAAAGCAGGTTTTCACTAATAATTTGTCACCCTGCACCAAAGATAACCTTTGACCTGACCTCTACAAGACCCTCTGTACCTGGACAACTGGCAGGCAACAGGATAAAAGAAATAGTTTCAAGCTACTTTGTCGACTTAACTCCACATGGATGCACAGGGGTCCCCCAGCCACTCTGAGGATGGGCCACGTGCATGCCCATTATTTTGTGGTAGATTAGTGCCCGGCTAACATCAGCTTACCAATATTATACCAGCTGATGTTAGCTTATCACACCTATCAGTGTCTATGTAGGAAGGAAGTACAGCAGAATGAAGGATGGATGAATACGTAAAGACACATTCATCACTGAGGACAACGTGACTATTGTCTATTTAATATGGGCTCCTTCAACATACCATGCACTTGTTCTTTTAATGTCAGTCCTGCTAATCTTTACCGTTTACATTTTACGTGACATTTGCTGATAGTGTTTTATTTCTGACATTTATTTAGGCT